ATGGGCTGGGGTTTGAGGACAATTGTTCGATGAACTCTTAGTAAAAATAAAGGCTCTAAAAGACAATCCCTCTTCTGCTTTGGGTAAGGCCAATACATGAATCCACTAAACCCAACTTTTCAAACAAAATATTCTGCCCAATATCATGAAATAATTAAGGGATTCTTCTAAACCCTGATTTTCCTCATACATCATGCCGCGATAGACTTTATAATTAGCCTCAAACAATAACGTGCAGATGATATTTTTAGGAAGATAGTTTCAATTCACTGTGTTTATATCCTTAAACTTCATATTCCTCACAATCTGGCTCGCTTTGAAGGTGTCATCTGCTTTGTGGCTCACTCCCAAAAGTGTTCTCGTATGGCTATGAAGTAATTTTCACAACTTGACTCATACAATCATGGTTAGAAGATGGTTCGATGTCAAATCCCTAGCTCATTTAAGATTAGATAAAGATAGGTGAAGTGTGAAGAGGCGATTCTGAGTGAAATTCACAGGAATGGAAGGGAAACACTATCAGTCCTTGAATCGACGAAAACGACCTCTGCCGAATTAATCTTTACTGATTATTGTGAGACCCATACATTCACTGTGTACTAATTTGTCAAGCTAGTCAAAATAGGCTGCGTAAATGAGGGCGACGTGAGTCATAGTTGGTTTGGGGGCAGATGAATGCGGATGTAAGCAGAGTTTAGAGACTACAAGTAAATCAGTAGTATGAGATGTATTCACTCTATTTTGTTTAAGGTGATGAAAGACGGGTAGTAGAATTTTCCCACAATGATATGAGTAGGGCTGACGTTTCCATTCAATTTCACATAGCCTTGCCTTCGACACTTTCCACCTCACTTCGGTTTTATCAACACCTCCAGAGGGAGTCGAATCGTGGCAACACAACATGTGAGCTCGACACGTTAACCATTTAGCCACATTGCCACAAGTTCCATTGAGTTGCAGGGCGGATATTAATTTCAAGGCCTTTTCCTATATCACATTCTTTGGTGGGATTGTCGATGAAGCAATCGTATGTTTGCTATAATACTCGACTACAGTAACTATTTTTCGTACATAGGCAGAGTTTCGGGGCTACCAGTAAATCAGTTATATGTGGTGTCATTAGAGTTATGCTTTGCACTGGCCACTCAGAATTCGAATGGAGAAACTGACATCTGTCATGACGATTAAGGGGTACAAAAGAATAATGATAATTAACACGTGGGTTTCCTATACTCGCTCGAATATTCATTTGTCCTCCACTGTTTGGACTTCCTCTCTCACTTCCGATAAATGTTATACCCAACACATAAAGTGTGTCTTTTTTCCAGACTTGACTGTGGCTGCTTTGGCAAGTAGGCCGAAGGCATAGTCGTTATCACGTGCTTTGGCGCTATTTTGCAAGGGACTATATTTATTCCTTAATCCCAATAGCCTAGTGAAGTTGTTTTACTAGCCAGTTTTATGAATTCCTCAAGAAGCATAATTCACGTATTTCAATTTTCCAATAATTATATGAGTAGACCTGTCGTTTCCATTGAATTTCAAATAGCATTGCTTTCCCATAAGGTGTTCTCCTCCGGGGTGGTCTGCAGTTTCAACCTCGCCTAAGTCTTATCAGCGGGGCTCGAGCCATGACACCGCAGTGTATAATCTCAAAATGATAACCACTCCGTCACCTTGCCACGAATGTCCTTGAGCCACATGGCAGATGTGAATTTCATGTAAGGTCAGGCATTTTTAAAATCAAATTCTGTGTTGGGGTTGTGGATGAAACAAACTTATATTTGCTATAACAATCGACGACATTACTTTTTTCATTATTCAGTAGGTTTTTGAGATTACCGGTAAATCGAATATACAGGATATGCTCATCCTAGTTCGTTTAAGGTGATGAAGAAAACGTCAGCTCTACTCATTATCGGAAAATTCACCTACCAGTCCTTCATCACCTTAAGCGAAATAGGGTGAACACATCTCATCTATTTGATTTCCTCTTATTCTCTAAAACCTACTCAATAATTCACGTATTGTCTTTCATAAACTGGCTGGATTCACACATTAAAAACGTTATTGCTCCCAACGTTTCATTAGACCCTTAACTTGTATCCTCTTGTGCTTATTTGCTGATTTTGCCAATCAGGGTTTGACTATTCCGAAAAAAACGACATTCCCACTTTGCTTTCTTGAGCATTAACCATGTTAACGTTGGTAATGCACCCACGATGGTTATATAATCATAAAGCTTATTTTAACGAGTGTAAGTGATGCGTGAGCGATGGGACTGTGGTGATGTAACAACTGACAATATCGGTGCAATTTGCGTGAAGGTAGTAGAATTCACTTCTCTTGACCAGCTGTTTGTCGGGCAACTTTTTTTTAGGTGACCAACGCAAATAGAGTCAGGTCACGAGTACTACGATTTCGAATAGTTTAACATTAAATTTAATACAAGTAATGAATTGCTACCAGGCTGCCTATAATACACACTAAAATGTGGTCAGTTGTGCTCAAGAATACATGAAAACATGGCGGACGAATCAGCTATCATTAGACTATTGTCCTTTATATACATATTGTTGCTTGTCACGACAATAAGTTATATATGTATAATACAGTATTTATTAAAAAGGATATAAAATCCCCTTAATAAGCCTGGACAAAGGAAATAATGGTAACGTGATTATTGGAGATTAAAAAGAGACCATGGATTGCCTTATAACAGTAATTTGCTGTTTTAAAAGTGATTATATTAATTTTAAACTTGGCAGACATGAATCAAGGTTACGGAAATTCTAAAACACACAGACGAAATAAAGGTGAAATGTAAATTGGCATCAAATGTATAAAGCCCAAAAGACACCTTATAGGAATAGATATATTACAGTGACAGATTTATGTGAGAAAGTAAAATTTACATTTTTACGAGCAAGCATGCACTCTTCATTACATCCAATGGAGCAAAAAGCAATCACAAAATTACAAGCATACTACCTAAGAGGAACTTTTTGACAGGTGATTGCTTTAACCATGCATGATCATACATTCTATACTTCATCACTTTGCTTAGAATAAACTTTTGCTTTTGAGTACTTCCTGAGCATCCTTAGCCATTATATTGCATAGGGAAATGGAGAAAATATTTTACAATTCTTAAATTTTTATCAAGCTTTTTCACTGGGGCGAAGCCAATCACATGACTTTATATGCTGTAAGTGCTTTGACTAGTACGAATTACTCTTACTGATCGCGACTTGCCTGTATCAGCAACCTTAAAAATCGCAGGCTAAGATGGTTTTGAGCATACCTAAAGTAAAACGTGTCAAGGCTATGGTTAATTTTATTAGCCAGTCATGATCGTACTGGTTTTTGCTAGACTATTTCTCTGCAGCCTAAGGTCGGCGATGATGTTCAGATGAGTTTGTAAGACCACAGAATTGGGCTGAAAGAGGCAGTTGAAGTGCACAAATGATGATGCATAGCGCGAATTTGTTGTGTTTACGAGGATGAATGGAGTGCTGGCTGTTTCACTTCACATCGTCTGGGGAATTCCTTTTCCCTTGCGCTTCTTTGCTCTCGGCACCTCAGCGTTGCAACTGCGGGTTTTCCTCATTTTTCCTTAGACAGGTCGCATGCTGGCTTCTCCCTCGGGTCGTCAGGCTAGCCCTCAACTCTCGCTTTCCTGTATTATCCGTCTCCTTAACCCCTTCCACCTCAGAGGTTTGGCTATACGGCCCATTTGAGCATTGCTTTTGTCCTTCGACCCAGACAACACCAACACACCCCATTCCTCAGAACCTGAAGCTCTTCCTGAAGGAGGGGCAGCAATTGCAACTGTATGCATATGTACTCTGACGCCTGGAGGCATATACAAATGGATGTTTTCCCGTACACAAATTTGCTCATAAAGCCAGTTTCATACCCTCCATTAAAGGGTCACTTGAAGCAGCGGAGTGCTATTGTAGGTTTATTGCACACATTCCGCTATTTTATCATTCTCCTCTGCCGGCTATCTTGGGCACCAACAGCGTCTTCCGTCGGCTCACCTAAAAATGGGCGGGAAATTGGTCCTGCCCGCACACATCAATGTACAGAAGAAGAGGCCACCAAGCAAACAAGAGGGAGGAACACACTTATGCTCACTAAAAAGTGTTTGGTCTAAATGAACCCGCCCGGGAGGCTTGAAGAGTTGGGCTTATCCGCTACGCTCTGCCAAGCCAAGTGGGAAGAACAAACTTTAGCTGAATAACAGATGCCTGGTGATGAATGGCCTGTGATCACCATTGCGGAACACCCTAATTCGTAATGAAAAGCAAGAGGGCAAAATTGGGTCAACGCCTTGAATGCGAATAGTTAAAGCTGTAGTTAGTTGTGTTGGATTCTAAGCCAACCCGCCATCTCATTACCAATATTTTCCTCTCCGTCAGAATCATCACCAGCACCATCTCCAGCATCATCTTCATTTTCAATTTCATTTTTACTTAAAGTATGTTTAGGATTACCATTGTTGCTATCATTGTCATAAAAAATTTATTTTTAATATCATTCTCATTGTAAGTGTCATTATAATTATACCTAACATCATGCTTGCCATTATCACTCTTAACCTCGTCGTAATTGTAATTGCAATTGCACTTGGTGGCCTCATTAATGCTATCACTTTCAATTAATATCACCACAGCTACCAGTTTCGGTATTATTTTCATTACCATTTCCATTACTATCAACGTCATACTTGCTGTCATTAGCATTAGTTTTAGCAGTGTCGATATCTTTATTATAGTCATATTATTATCGTCGGCATTGGTACAATCTTTCATTCAAGCGCATTTGCATTCTTATTATCTGTATCGTTTTAGATAAAAGTATTGTTATCATTGCCATTTCGCTATCCGACGGCTCATTAATGATGGCCTGACTATCCTTATTCAACTGTACAGACACATTTTACATACAAACATAAACAAATGCCTCTTTGAAATCATATCAGTGCAATTGTGGTCTTAGCGTGGTTCGGCAGTTTCACTCTACGATTAGTTTCTGCTTATCACATCTACCATTGTTGCTTAACAGCATAAAAAACTACTTTTTTGGTGCATATCGATCAAATATAATATTGAATCCCTTAATTAATTAATCCGTCAATTACCTCAGTGCATGAATGCCAGGCACAAAATATTCATATTTTTTGCATGCTCTTTGGTATCTTGGGATGGCTTAATTTTTTCGTCGGCTCTTGTGAAGTTTGCTTTCGATGTTATCATGCTTTATATTAAAGAATCTCGACTATGTTGAAAATGCCAATTTTACGAGTTAAAAATGTAATTTCAGAATGAGGATTCTGTGAAAGCAGATTGTAAAGCCCAAAATTCTCTGCTTTGCCTGTCATCATTAAACGATTTTCCCCATCCCCTCATTGAAGATGGGCCACCTTATTAATGGCATTCTCATGATAACCTAACTCTTTGGTAAAATTCACCAGAACTTTTGGTAATTTTAATAACACTTTTAAGGTCTCAATAAATATGCATTAGGACGATTGATACAAAATACCTCACAAGCCCTACGAATGCCTGGTTGAACTTTCTTAATATGCCGCTTCTCTACATTGCTCCTGTCCAGATGCACAGGTATCATGCATTGACTAATATAATTTCTCGCATTAAGTATTGCTTCGAGACTACCAGTAAATCAGTAATATGAAATTTATTCACTCAATATCGTTTAAGGTGATGAAGGACTGCTTCATCGACAATCCCAGCGAAGAATATGATATGGCAAAAAGGCCTGGCCTTCCTTGAAAATTCACATTTGCCCTGTTACCAAAAAGTCGCTCGTGGCAGTGTAGCCGAGTGGTTAGTGTCAAGCTTCCATCCTGCACTGTCGCGGTTCGACTTCCGGTTCGACCATTCAGTTTATAGCTCACCCAGGTCTCATCATTTTTGGTGATGTAATTTGAAACAAGGAGATAATACCTTTTCATACTTAGGAAGCTGGAATATGTTGAAAATGCCAATTTTACGAGTTAAAATGTAATTTCAGAATGAGGACTTTGTGAAAGCAGATTTCGACCTAGGATTGATCGAAACGTAGTCTAGACCATTCAGTTTCTAGCTCACCCAGGTCTAATCAGTCTTCGTGAAGGCATTTGAAACAAGGACATACTGGCTATTAGACAAACAGTTAATATTCCTGGTCATACGACCCTATTCATTTTGTGTAGCACGGCAAGCCTAGATTTCAAGGAAAAACGAAACCATCTGCCATGGGAACTTTTGTTCGTCGTGACAGCCGTGCTTTTGCCATAAAATCTGTTATACTAGTGAAACTTTTTGGTACTCATTTTGGTCACCTCTATCAAGAATTTGATTGCTGTCAGGAGGTACCACTTTTGGATGCCATTTGCGTGAAATTTCAATAAATTCAATGAAAATACAGTATAATACGAATACTATTTTATACGATTACAAAATTTCAGAATTAGATAATCAAACTTTTGCAATTAAAATCTGTTTCATATCTCTTAGTCTCGCCATCGCGCCTCATTCTTGCTCGATCTTAGTAGAATCTATTCTTCCATCAACACATTGCGCATGGATATTATCGACTTCTATATTACCAGAACTCAAGAAGCTCGCTACACATCACTTTCTTTCTGACTCTTTTAGTTCAGGCTGTCTTTGTATAATATTCTGCTTCCTTATATTATTAATTTCTCATATAATTAACGGGTTTGAAGTCAAGTCCTCAAATTGATCGTGGATAGAATCGCTATCAGTCTCTATAGTACTATAAGTAAACTGTACATTTTGATCATTTTTAGCCTCTTGATAGTTGTTATTAATGCAAGTATAAGCAAGTCCTTGTAAGCCTGTCTTCATGCACACCCCCAACGAAATGTTCAGGGTGGTTTAGTAACAAAATACCAATTTAAATCTATTTATGGACAATATCCGTTTTAAAATCTCGCTGAGGGTTTCGATTAGACTAATGAAATGTAGAAATGCAGCCCAGACAGAACGAAAAATCCCTTGCATTGCGATGATGAATTCTCCAAAATCCACTATAGGCAGTTCAGATTTCGCTCTATAGTCAACTAAAAGAGGACTATGACGCTAAAACTATGAAGTTTAACGCTCAATAAATAAACTTAGACTATCAATGTAATATCACCTTAAAGGGATTTTTAAAAATGCTTACACTAAATATCCCACCATTCATTCTGGCCATATACCCATTTTACAAATTTGGGTTTGAAACCAAGATGAAATATCATATACTTCTCTGGTAAAACAGTTAATCCGACTGCTCTCTGCTCAATGCAGAATCCGCTAAGCCACGCCCAAATAGCTCAATCAGATTCAAAATGCGCTACTTGCTTAGCCAACGAGCGTCTGTTGTGTAACCAGTTTATCACATCTTTTTGTCGTATATACACTGAGAGGGAGTCCACTGGGACCTCCAAGCTGTCCCAGTTCTTTTGGCGCTTCTTTCGATTACGTTGTAAACGTGCTAGCGCTTCTTCTGTACGCCAGTTTTCAGAAATCATCAGTACTGGATATCATTTCTATGATAAATCAAAGCAGAGAAGTGAAGATAACTGGCCAGCTCATCTATAAAGTTTGCGTGCCTTGGAAAAAAAAGAATTTTAGGAAGTATAGAATAAGTCGATGGGTACACAATTTTATGCATGTGTGTGCGCATATGTGCGTGTTGGTTGTACAGACAGCACCCATCGACAGTATATAACGCTGTCCGTCATTACATGGTCCTAGTTATGCTGTTCTCTTAGTTGAAACGGTAATTAAACTCAAGGAACTGTAACAGTTATTGCACTTAGTCCTAATTGCTCGAAACTATAGATGAAATGTTTTATCCGCACAATAGCCCATATACTTGCACACACACGCACTCAAATGGATAGGCATGGAAAATGATTTATTAAACAATTATTTATCTTCAGAACTTAATTTCGACAGTTTACATGGAGCGTGTAGGAGGAGGCGGTTTAATTTTCCAAAGTCGTAAGCCAGAATTCGTTGTATGCATACGTTCCAGCATTGGTGCTATCTGTCTGTCTCAATAACAGATAAAGGTTCAACTTGTTTTTCCTGTAACAGAAGGAGATTGTTTGCAAGACTACATCATCATGAATTTCCCAGAATAGTAAAAGCTTCACGAGACCCCGGGAAGTTCGTCATCATCTTTTAGTGAAGTCGAGGAATGAATCGCTTCATCACAGAATTTCGCGTGAAATAAATTCCAGCCCAACAATAATCTACCTATCCTTTCGAAATATCAGCCTACTTTATAGCTCAGCCTCGGTAGAGGATAGATTAGACCGGATTTCTTAGTAGAATGGCTCTTACAACGTTCCGAAAGCATGCTTATACAGCTTGTAATATGTTTTCGAGTAAATTTTATAGTCAAATACTAAATAACTCTCCAATTATTACTTGCGTGCGAGAGCTAATTTTAGGTTTTCCTTGAGAAGTCTGAAACTATCTCTTTTCGCCGGCCTAACCAGCTAGACGGCTACAGCGGTTTGTTAGGCATCAGCAACTACGAATGTCTCATCCCTCACTCATGGCGACATTTTACAAGTCAGGCAGTAATGTTAACAAATAACTGATTTCATTTACTGGATTTGTCACATCGACATGGAAAGTAATAAAGAATTTCCAACAAATATTTCCCATTTTTCCACGAGATGCTTGGTCTACCTGATACCCTTGCATTTGCATGACCTTGTAAGACCCTTTGAACTGGCAGTTGCTAGCCTCAAGGCTTCGATAATTGCCATAATATTATGATATTTATTAATATGTACTTTTATACGTTCGTATATTCTTTATAATCTACAAGAAAAACGTTTAATGCTCTTTATATTTGTAGTATATACACTTTACAATGTGAACATGGCTTCGTGCTTGCCTCCGGATGCATAATACTTTATACAAGAGACAAGTTATTTGAGGATCTGCTTGGGCGCTGGTGAGCCTTGTCAAGGAAAAAGAGAACTGCAGCAATTGTGTAGCCATAGAATATCACGTCTCTATTAGCCTAAGGAAAATAAATGTTTCTTGTCGCCTCTTGACCAGTCGAGGTAAGTTTGCGTTGTTGCCACTGGCATCCGATCAGATAGGAGCTGGAGAGTTTGGGACTATTGTACATGGTTGGCGCGATTGTGCTATTCACATGTGTCCGCATTTGTTGGCAGACGTAGTTTCGTGTATTCACATGCTTCATTGTGCTTTTCTATGTGTCCCCGCATCTATACACATCTGTCTCGGTCTCTGCCCCGAAGAGTATGCATTCGGCTGTGTGTAATGTGGTATGCCTACATTTGCCAGTCTTTCTGCCTGCAGGTCAGTGTGTCTATGCATGTGCGTGTTGGGTTGTTTGTGTGATTTTGTGCCTGCTCGACCTGGTCATTGGGACTGAAGCATTTGCGAGGAAGCCGGAGGTCGCTTGGGCAACCTGAATCCCGCTTGATGTCGGGGCATATCGGCTACATCTTGCATTCGCGAACCC